TATATAATTGACTTGAGCATTAGGAGTGTCTTTCTCCGAGGTACCAACTTCAAGACACCCTCAAGCTGAAGTCCAGTTAAGACTGTCTGTTAAAGTCAACACAGACAAATTCGACTCAGAACAGCACTATTTAATTATAAATAAATATATCCATCCTTTCACCACTATCTCCTTTTCTTTTCTTTTCTCTTTATATATAGGCCAAAACCCCTATTTGCACTCTCTATTTATTTTTTTTTCACGGTCAATACCTTCTAGAATTTTTCCTCCCTATTCATACCCTCCACTTTTTAAAACCCGTGAAAAACCCAATATTTTAATGGGCCATCACGGAACCATTAATAACCGTTAAAAATTGTAATACGTGGCATCAAACAGTAACATAATCTAATGTGGACTTTTTTTTTTATGATATGACATAATAAAATCATAATTAATTTTAATTTTTTCATTTTCTTCTTTCTCGCATCATCTTTACTATCTTCCTCTTCATCTTCCTGGGTTCCTCATGGAACCAGGTACCCAGAACTTTTTTTTATAATGTGTTATAATTAAATCATCATTAATTTTAATTTCTTCATTTTCTTCTTTCCCGGCATCATCTTCACCATCCTCATCAACATCCCCTAGGTTCCTCGCAAAACCCAAGTTCTGAGTTCTTCGTAGAACCTAATTTCACATGAATGCAAGCTAAGATTTTCATCCACACAATTATAAATAAATAAATACTGCACAAAAACATGATAAGCATCTTTTACTCTTTTCCCCAAAAAACGAAAATTGGCAACCTATTCAGAAACAATCTCCCAGCAAAAAAACTCTTTTTCAACAAAAAAAAATTATTCCAAATTATTTTGCATAAAATCGAAAGTTAAGATAAATACATTAAAAAAAAAAAAAAAGGAGGTTGGAACTGGGCAGGAACCCAAACTGGGTTCCACACGAGGAACCCAGATCTGGGTCGAACCCAGTTCTGAGTTCCCTGCGAGGAATCCATTGAGAAAGAAGAGGATGGTGAAGATGGAGGGCGGTGAAGATGATGCCGAGGATGAGGGGGGAAAGAAAAAAAAAAGAAAAAATGCCATTTATGTAACTATTTGGTAATATTATAATTTTTTATTATTTTTACTGTATACGTGGCGTCCACATTGGATTACTAACATTACATATTGTCACGTCAATTTTTGGATGCCACGTAATATATTTTTTAACGAGACCGTGACGGCCCGTTAAAATATTGGGTTTTTCACGGATTTTGAAAAGTGAAAAGTGTAAATAAGGAGGAAAAATTCTAGAAAGTGTTGACCACGAAAAAAAAATAAATGAAGGATGCAAATAAGGGCTTTGACCTTATATATATATATATATATATATATATATATATCTTAATTTCTCCATTCATGAGTCAATTTAGTTAGTTTAGGACCTGTCCTTGCGCCTTAACTTAATTAGCATATATAAACTATAACCATTTAGAATTTTTGTATTCCATTTGAGTACATTTTATCCAAAAACAAAAAACAACTAAAACTGAAACGAGGTTAGAATGGAGACTGGCATAACGGGCACGAAGACTTGTGAGATGTTGAGAACCACTTATAGAGGCAGGCTGAATGAAACTTGTGTTTGCAGGTCTTGCAAGCAAGGCGGGGGAGGCTGTGGTTCACAGTGTGGATCACACTGTAACATATAGGGCACTCTTCAACACCTTCAAATTCCTTGTCAAAATTGCGCTTCCATATTCTTATTGCTTCAGCTAAAGCTCCATTCTGCATCAGGGCCACAGCAAAATGCATGTCACATTTTCCCCAACATAAAAATGGAACAAGACTGCAAGTATAAAGCATTAACACATATATAAATCCTACCTGATTGCGGACAAACAACATCATAGACATTAACCATTTCCTCTGCTTCACTTCACTTATCCCTAAGCTCCTCGTACAATCAACATCCACTGATCGCAATGGATAAGATGCAGGAAGACGGATGACTAGATCCATTCCAGTCTCATCCTTTGTATACGTAGCAACAACCTCATTTGCTGCTTTGCTAACGCTAACAGTGAAGTTCTCGTCTGCAATATTGGCTTTCTTTATCTGAGTACAAAAACAAATTTTGTCAGAACTGCACCACGATTATGTTACCCTGCTAAAATTTATCAAAGATAACAACTCCGGTTGCAAGAATCAGAAAAATCATGGTTAAAATCATACACACCAGAGATAGTTCATTTGCAATGAGAGGAGGACTGCACCATGCTCTTGTAAAAGATTCAATCAACGATGAGGTAGATCTGTCACGTAAGTCACTAAACCACCCCCTAACATAAGCAGGAAGCAGGTGCAACATCAAACCATATATGGCTCCAGCAAGGGAAGCCATTTTTACAGCATTGATAGGCCAAAGTGATTCCACAGCAAACAGTAATGACCCTTTCAAAATGGCACTCGTTGCTGCAGTTGCAGCCTCTGACAAAACAGTAGGGAGCTGCTCATCCTTCTTCTTTAGAATATGTGCTAAGCATAAGTCTAAAGGAATGTGCTGAAAAAGGCAATCCAATATCGCTGAATTAGCTGAATCTTGTATATACTGTACCAATCTCTCCCTTTGGGATGATGATGATGGTAATGACCACAAATGGGATAACAACAAAGACCATGCAAGGAACAGATGCACCTGCCAACATGTAAAAGATCAGTACATGACTTCAAATTTTCAAATCTAAAATAATAGGTGACCATATATAAGGCACTATTAAACTAACAAATTCAAACATACCCGTTGCTCTACCACTAAATCCATATCAAGAACATCATATGGTAGCTGCTCAATCATGTGAGACAATTCCTCCTTCAAATGGACATTTTCTTCGGATGAAAAATCAATTTGGCTTGACTCTTGGTCTGCACTCAAATCACCATCTAAGCAACATGTAGTGCCTTCACGAAAGACAGCCCGCTGAGAGACAGGTTCAGTTGATAGGACAACATAGGCAGCAAGCTGCAAAGCTGGAATTGGTCCAGAAGAAAATAGAATGGCATACAAAGAGCTAATAGGCCCTTTGCTCAGCCCCCAAAGTTCAACTGATTTGACTGCTTTATCTCTAGTGTGAGCAGATGATTTAACAACAGTTGAAGCCACCAACTCCCAAAATGAGTGATGGACAGATCTCGAGGAAGCTATAATTGAAGCAGCCTTAAGACCATAGGAATGTGCGATGGCCTCAGCAATGCCAGTGGAAAAGAATAAGCGAAGAATACTCTCTTGAATTTGATCTACAGTGGTTTCCAACCTTTCTGATCTCAATGGGTTTAAATTATCTGCATCCCCTGTTGGTTGGAATAGCAAAAGCCCACAAAAAATAGAAAATGATACAAGGGCATTTTCAGCTATGGTTAAGGAAGGGCCAGAAACCAACACAATCTTTTCAAGTTTTAGAAGCAAAAGATCCAGGTCATCAGAAGAAGAGTTTGCAGTATTTGCATCATTCACATTTTCAGCAACTTCCTCCATCATCACCACTGCTGATTCAATCCAGTTTCTCAAGTGTAAGAAGAGAAACTCCCAATCTTCTTCATTAAATTCCTTCCAGCAATAACCAACTGCAATGACCATTAGCTTTGATAACAACATCCCCACAACTGGCAGCTGATTAGCTGTGACTGATCTTGCAGCGTCATGTCTCTGCTTCCGGAATAAATCAAGTAATAGAATTTTTTCTTCTTGGCCAACCTGTCTTTCTAGCTTCATCACTTCAGCTCCCCCTACCGCTTGTAAAGGATAACAGGAGATGATCAATTGAAACCATTCTTCCATATCTGCAACCCAAAAGAAAAAGGAAACAGCAATGATCAGTGCAACTGCCAGAAATAGGAGTAGCACATTGCTCTAAAATCAACTGTCATCATAATTATTACTGCCTGGAATTGAAAATATGCCCATAGCTTTTCTTTGAATCTGCAATGTAGGAGGTTCACCTTACCATTTCACCATGCTAGTTCATGAAGATTAAAAACTATATATATCTAAGCTTCAGTCAGAAAAGAGAAAGAAAAATGAACGCAAGAAAATGTGACAGTATTTCATCAGGCGCAAATTCCTGCTAGAAGCTGATCTTGGTTCAGTTTCAAGTAGCATAAAACATCCCAGGTTTAACAAATGCTAATGCGTCCAAAGGCAAATTTTCCTTTATAATCAGGGAAACAACACATGATGATGAATTGAAAGTAAATTACATTTTATATCCCTTCCCCATATTTGAGAATATAGTTGCATATAAAAACGATGTCAATGCATTTACCTTCTCCACTTTGCCATGTGAGCAAAGGAGGGAATGAAAGAGTTCTCTGAAGCCAGCTTTTGATGGTATACTGGATCTGATTTACCTCAAGCATACCATGTTTATCGTCACTGCCACATTCACCTGATTTGCTCATTTGACATATTGGTGGCATGAGAGTACATAAGATAAGAGGAAAAATCCTCAGACAATTTGTGTTTACTGCTTCACCTATAAATAGTTTATTTACGAGAAGCTCAAACAGAGTCATAGCCTTTTCTGCTCCCCACGTATTTTCCTTAAACAAAGTGAAAAGCAAAGCAATAAGAGCTCTCAAAAAGGGCTCTTCAATATCCTCAAATCCTTCCCCCCAAGTAAGCGGTATGGTAGATAAACACTTCAAACAACTTCCTCCATGAAAAAGAGCACCATCAAGCAAAATATTGAAAATAGAGTCTAACAAGCATCCCAGGGAGGAGCCATTTTCAATCTTGGCAAATGAAGTCAGTGTAGGTAAAAATGAAGTTAAAGCATTGCCTCCTGGCCATTTCCAGGTGCATAATACTTCAGCAGCAAGCCAAGCTCGAGAAGCAACCTCATCCCTGGTCTCCTTGAGTGATGATGATGGCAAGTGCATTACATTACCAAAAAAAACTTTATCAAACCCAAGTTTCATCATAAGCTTGCCAATTAGAGATACAATCTTGTGATTCCAAGATGCCTGCATTTACAGAGAATGATTGTTTTCAAAAGTCAATATACGAAAATTCTAGACAAGGCATAAAATTCACATTATAGGTTAGGTATTGAATTTATTCAAACACATTCTATGAGTAGTCAACAGAAATGAAATTCTCATGAAGTGTTCAATACATAATGCTTTACACATATGAATTGAAGCATGCACAGAACTGAAGGATTGAAGGATGTGCTAATGGGGTGGCCAAAAAAAAGAAGGATGTGCTAATGGAATATTAAGATGCTTGATTAAAATGTTACTTCTTGATTGTTAATATAAGAAAGAACTGAAAAGAAGCAACAAACAAATCTAAAATATAATGAAACCTGAGAGAGAGAGAGTACTTTTTCAGGATTTAATGTTGCTGGCCCATTTGGGGAGCTAAAGTCAGGAGTGATCCACAGAGGCCACATATCATACTTCCTCAGAAGATTATCTAAAAGGTCTTGTTCCTGATACTGATCCTGACACAGGCATTCAATGACTTCAAGCACCCATGTGCAGCTCAAAGATGCAATTTTGCTGGTCTCTAGTTTATCTTCCTTGAAGAGGGCAGACCTGATAAAGAGAATCAAGTTATTCTGCAGTCTTCGTCTAACATCAATGCTGAGTTCTTCCCATAACTGATTACTTATCTTGGAACGGAAACCATGCACTGATTCACAAAAAGTCATCCGGCCCTTGATTTGTTTCTTTGATTCATCATCTATGGCTGCTTCCATACTATACTCCCAATCAATAATAAGCAATGCAGCTAAAATACTTGAAACCAAGTCATTTTCATCATCAAGTGTCTGTAGGCAAAAGAAGCTACCATCAAGTACTTCAAGAGCAAACTGAGCCATCTCAATCACATTTCTTAAGCTCTTATTTTCCAATCTAAGATCATTCTCCCTCAAAGCTAAAACAGCACCTGCTTCCTTTACAGAAATGAAAGAGGATTCAAGAAGAAAGGAGTTCAACTTTCTGAAAACCTCCTTAAATATCTGGACCACTGACTTTCTAGACACAAAAGAATATTTATCTCCTTCTGTTGAGCCACCAAGAACAGCACTGCAGAAAAAAGAAATAAATAAGTTCCGACTGTAAAACAATAAAATATTCAAATCAATAATGATATTCTTGGAGAAAATTTAAAAATTAATGTTCCTTTTTCTATAAATCAAAGGCTCATAAAAACATAACCATCCTCACCAGCTTTAGAATGAAAAAAAGGAAAAACTAAATCAATTGTCATTCTGCACTATTTTATATACAGGTTTGTTTAAATAACTAGCCAACCATGATCACTTTGAGCAGAGTCCATTAATAATAATAATAATACTTTGAGCAAAGTATAGATTTTCCCACATCCTGAAATCTGTCTATGTTGAAAATGAAGAGCACATGCTTTCCTATATCTGCATTCATTTATGAGAAAGATGACCCACATGTCCCATATTACACCTACAGCAGCATGAAGAAAAATGAACTAATAAGAAAAGACACAATCTTTATACATTTATAATGTTTATAACAGTGCAGATTAAGAGTACTTAACAAATATCACCATAGTTCTAATAGCTATGATTTCAGTTCCTGTAATTCAATACATTCATGATTGGAAGTGGAAATGTTTCTAATAGCATACCGTATAAACAGCACATCATAAGTTCCAAAAGGTGGAAGGGAACAGGCAACAGAAACAGCAGCCGATTCTAGAAGTTCATGATGCCAGTGATCTAGTTTGAAGCCTTGCCCATGACACAAATCTCCTCCTACCTTTCGTTTTGCAATTTCTTTTCTTGCTCTCTCCAAGAGAATAGCCAACATTTCTATGTAATTAGAGTTGGAGGAGCCAAGGCTACCTTCAGATAGGCTAGAGACAGATTCAGTTGTGTAAGTGATAATGGCATGCCACTGCTCAGAGAAGCATTCATCATCAAGCAATGCAAGCAACAGATCCAACCTAGCATTGGTGGAGCAATTATGTCCATCCAAACACCAAGGGATAAATATTTCCTTGAAAACTTGCAGAAAGTACCCCGCATTCAGTTCTCTGTCCTTGTCATCAGAAAGATTACAAGAAAGTAGAACATCACTGTTGGAAAATAGCTCCCTGAGTATCTTCCATGGTCCAAATATTGAAACAGAAACTGCTAAAAGCTTCACACCATCTGGTGAATCCTAAAAAGAAGATAAAACAAATGAACATTTAAGATGAAAGCAAGCAGGTTATAGAACAAAGGTAAACACAAGGCCTTACATGAAGTTGCCCAAACTCCAGCATGCATAAGATCTATAGTAATCACTGAAAGAGATGATTGTAGAAAGCTATAAAATTGATTTTTGGCTAAATATGTTTGTATCTTTATCTTAACCAGTATCTAAAATAGCATTTTTCATTATGAATAGGCATTCCATTCTGTTCTGCAATAGAGTCAACAACCCAGTGGGCCTGCTAAATAATCTGTGGAGGCAGACTCCAAAATTATCAATCTTTTTGATTGGTCAAAGGATTCTAAAAGGGCATGTTATCTCTGTTGGCAAATCCAATCAGGAAATGCTTACTAGTTCCCATGCATGACAGCTGAATATTATAAAAGCAGCCTCAAGTATAGTATGATATAAAAATATAATTATAAATGATTTCAGGGGCATACTAAAAAGCTCACAATTGGCACCTTAACAGAAGCAAGATTTATGACATAAACCAAGTCAAAAGTTTATCTAATAGTAACTTACAATTGATCTGATTAATGGGAAAGATTTAGCTAACATTGGCCCCACCAAATACTCCAGAGGCCAAGCTTCGCCCTTTTGCTTCATGTGTTGTCCCAGCAAAAATAGGAATTTATTTATCTGTTCTAGTTTCTCTGGGGGCCTCTCTATATTCTCTTGATGTTGGAGTAGCTCCATACAAAAATCTTGGAATTCCACACAAAAGTGAGAGAGAAGATTATGTTCCAGTAAAAAGATACCTGAAAGAATTTCAATGATGCACTTTCCCAAACCGTGCAAATAACTTATCGAATGCTTGAGATTTGAAGTTGTCATCGCCTTCTCATGAAGAGGTAAATTGCTGTCCTGATCTTGTGATCTGATAGACAATAGGTAGTCCTGCCACAGAAGCTTCACTAGGATATTGTCAACCAAGGTGATCCGAAATTGAAACATGGAATCAACACCATCACAAAATCTGGCAACAAAAAGAAGAAACAATTAGCATTCTAATGCTAATATTCAAACTTGAAACAATTATACAAAATTGATAGAGGAAAAAGCTGGAACCCCTAAAGTTTTAAATACAGAAATGTCAAAGTGACAATGTGTTTGCTCTACCTTGGAGCATTATTTAATCCCCAAACAAAACATTCTTTGAGAGCCTGGAAAAATGCTAGTTGATCAGAGCTAGAAGAATGTACAGGGTTCCTTCCAGCCCATAAGTTATGGAAAAAATCAAGAAAAAACTTCTCTCCCGCTATTGCTTTAGCAGGAATAATATCTAAAAATAGAACCAATGCTGGATATGAAACCTGCTGAGATCCAAAGCACCCATTCCTAAGAAAATGCCAAAGTCGATTTAAGACAGTTTTCTGAATGTTTACTGAATTCCAACTGTCAGGGAACCTCTTACAAAATAGCAATATTGCATCCCACATCAAAGAATGACAAGCTGGATCCTTTTCCTGGAAAGCACCAAGAATTGGTGCAGCAAGTATCTTTATATTTCCCTCATTAAAAACTTGAGGAACATTTTTAATGAAACTTCGTAACACTGAATACGTAGCTGAGCGGATAGCAGAACTTTGAGACTTCAAAAAGTCTAGAAAGTATTTATGAGCAGAGAAAGCCTTTTCAGAAAAAGAAATAGCAGCTGCCCTAGCCTTAGAAGCATGCTTTGGCTCAGCAGCTACATTTTCCAAACCAGGTTTGTCTAATTGCACAGACACCAAAATGTCAAGAAGTGTGGCAAAAGCCAGCAATGATGAAGATATCACCTGCAGTGCAAAGAAAAAAGAGAGAGTAAAACTACTAAAAAATTTCACGTACACATGATATAAAGTAAAGTATGCCTTACATAGAAGAAACCCAAAAAATTATTTCCAGGAAACTTTGATGTAAGTGAAAGCTAACCATTGCATAACTCTGTATCAAAGCACTAGTGTACTTTTTACTATATAGATGTAGCATGTATATATTCTCAATTTTCTTAAGCAAACTTACAAAGTATGACTAAATGTTCTGGTACATATATTGAGCTGGTGATGAAGAAACTCAGAAGCTTTTTAGAGCAATTGCAGTTGACTCAATCAGATATTTAAATGACTGAGATATATATCTTCTCCATACTCAGTAAGGTAACCAGATAAACTTAAAGAAATATAGTCTAACCCACATCATTGATGATTATTTATGACAAGTTCACATATTCCAACTAATTTTTGACCTAGCAATTGTACACAGCCTTCGTCACCCCATTGAAACACATTTCACATTATCACAAGACAACAATCCAAAAGTCATCCAGATCCATGTAGGCAAATGGATTTCATATCACTCTAACTATGAATTTAGCTTGAGTCAATCTAAAGGGACCATGATCAATATGATAATGTAGAAAATTGCAAACTAAACTTCTCCCCAACCAAATAAGAACAGAAGAGCAAAAAAAAAAAAAACTTAAAATGAATACCTGCTGGTGCATCTCTTCCAGTTCGTCCACAGCAACTTCTTTATCTGACAAATTTTGAGGAGTAAGTTTCAAATTTTCCTCCAAATAGATAAAAATCTCTGCCGTGCATAAGATTAAAGCATCTAGTCTCCTTTCTTGAGCTGGGAAGGCTGCCTGTCATTCACAATTGAAGGATTAAACTAAACCAAAATAAATTTTCCCAGAACAGATGCATGTCTTCATGAGTTGAAATACATGCATAAGCTACCTAAAGATAATAAATTGATATAAAATTGAAATAACTATTCTCTATGTTGAAATATATCTAGGGGCTGCAGACTACAGGTCAAGAGACCTAGACTTTTTGAAACACAAAGAATTTATCACCAGGATAACAAGGCTCATAAAACCAGAAAATCATAAAGAGTTGTGATGGGATATGAGCTAACTTACAAGGAATGAAGGCTACTTTTTCTTATCTCATGTGTCTTAGAAAGTGTTCTATCTTGAGAGTTGATTCCAGTATTGTACTAGCTACATAGCATGCAACTTTGTGCCAATCTACTACCTCAGGTGTTGGGACAGTCTACTTACTTCAATTCAAATAAATTGTCTTAATCCTAAAGAACCTAAAGCAGGTTTATTGAATTCCATTTTCAGATGAGACATGCATAACAAATGGGTAGGGGAAAACTCTCATAGATGGGTGAAAAAAAATTTTTTCTTTTTTTTTTTTTTATGATTCATTTGTACTTAATGAGCAGTTACCCATGGGCTACAACCCAGATATTAGAAAAGATTAACAACCAATCTCTTAAGCACAAAGAGGGAGATCAAACCTGTAATGATCGCTTTGCAGCTTGGGAAACCTCAGGATTTGGATCAAATTGAGAGAACCACCATGGTCCCATCAAAGACTTCAAATGTGGAGCCAAATCTCTCCTGACAAGATATATAGAGAATCAGAACTAAGTTTTGTTCAGTTCATGGGAGAAAAGGTGCAAATGAGCATACTTAAGTCTTAAGGTCACACAGTGTTTTTCATTAAGTTTGCAACTCTAACAAGGAAATCAGGTTCCATATCACTTTATTCTTCAACTATTTTGATGTCCGTGGTTTAACTTTAAACAGAAGTAAACAATACATTTTTAGGTGTCCAAGTCCCAGGTGGGAGAATATTATAATTGCCAAAAATTTAATCAGGAGAGAAATCAAATAAGAAACAAATTGTTATTAGAACTCTTTCATTCTTGAAGCTGATATAATAATTTACTTTGAATTATAAGATCACCAAGATGTGCAAAGAATTATCATCCGCAAGGTACAATTTGTACATCTCATGACCCCTACATTGGATTAATCTATTATAATCAAGAATTTTCATTTAAGCCTATCCATCAAGTTATATCATATGAGCAAGAGAAACTAAGGGGACAACATGCATAAGACAACAATCCAGAAGAGAAGTTCAAACCCGACAGCAGTGACAAGATTAGTCATGGTTTCATGAGTAGCCCGGCGAACCTCTCTATTGTAGTCCATCAACAGTTTCTTGTACTCAAATGTCTGCAGAAGAAAAATAAAAAGAAATTGGAACATGAGGAAACAAGTTTGCACGAAAGACGTAGAAACAATAAAAAGCATTCAAGTTTCAACTTAGCATACCCACTGTGGAATAATGGGTGTTAATTCCTTGGAAGACTTTTGCTTGAACTGCTCAGATAGAGATGTCAAAGCTTTAAGCTGTGGAGAAACCGAAAGTCAGTAAAAGGATACAAAGATGAATGGCAGATGGAGTTCATTACAAAAGATATCATCAGAAGCAGCAGCAGCAGCACCTTGGTGGTAGGATCCTTTCTTGCTAGCCTTTTCAAGTGTTGTGCCACTTCACCATCTACATCCTGCACCCAATAAATGATAAAATTAACAGCTGAACAAATAATGATAATAATAATTGATAATAATTAAACTCATCCTGAGCAAAATTCAATTCAGCAAAAGCAAAACCATAAAAATGAATGAATAAAAAAAAAAATGATACAGAGTACCAAAAAGGAAGAAGTTTCCGGAGACTGAGAAGAATCGAAGCGAGAGCTACCGACATAGCCACCGAATCCAACGGTTGAGGCGGCGGAAGAAGAAGGCAATAGAGAAGCAGCTAGGCTGCAGTTTATTCATTCATTAGAAATTAATTTTTTTTTAAAAAAAAATCAAATTAAGAAAGAAATTGAAAAGGAAGCAAATATGATGAATATTTGACCTGCTGCTTGAGGGACGGGCCTTGCTCCTAGCAGCGTCACCTTTCTGTCTGCCCATTCCGTCGGAGGCGGCGGAGGTTTAGGAAACAACGAAACGAAAGAAGAAGAAAATTCAATGGAAAACGGTACTCTTCTTGAAGGCTGCACCGCACACGAAGCAATTTCAAAGGAGATTTCTTCACAGCTCTAAGCTGAAACAGGGACTAGGGAAGAAAGAGAAACATAACACGGCGATGAATGTACTGGGCTGGGCTGGGCTGGGCTGGGCTGGGTTGGGCCAATTATATAACTTGCCTTAGACTAATAAAATTGAAAAAGGGAAAATTCTTTTTTACCCTTTGAAAAAATAAAAATAAAATAAAAAACTTTTTTCGTGGGTTGATGAGATGAGGCAACCCAGCCCCTTTTACTATTTATTATTTATTCATTCTCAATACTAATTATTTATTTTTACGACACTTAAATTTTGTGATTTAATGATTATAAATCGATTCATAAAGATACATTTTTCAAGTTAAGGGTTGAGATTCAAAATCGTCCGCTCTTAATTGTAAACCGATTCAAAAAAAAAAAAAATTCAAAAATTATTTATTTCTACGGATTGGGTTGGAAGACTACAATTGGGGTCTTCTTAATAAATAAATGAATCGTGCGTGGATGGATCCTTAATGGAATTTCCATACTCAATCTCAAAATGAAGAATATGTTAGAGGCCCAATTCCAACAATGTCAACCGAGCCTATTTCCTAGATGGTCCATGGACCACAAACATGACTAAATCTGGATAGCCTTCAATGAAAGTAGGGCACTGAGGGGTGGATGGAGGAAGCGCCGTCGGCACAGTTGTGGTGTGGCCGACTAGCGGGTAACAAGCGCGTCTCCAACATCAGAATTGGTAGGTGTGCCTTTTTTTTTTTCGTGGTAGAAATTGGTAGACCGTAGACGTGTCTTATTTTTTGCATTTATATCCTATAAATTGTTTTGATAAGTAGGGTTTATTTACCCCTTTCCCAATTTCAGTCTCACCGGCCAAGAGGATTACCAAAAAAAAAGAAAAAAAGAGAGGCTTTGCTAGGTTTTTTTCCACTCTAAAAGATTGGGTTGGGGCGATGCCTTAAGAGTTAAGGCCGTAGCCCTTCTCTTTTTCCTTTAAACCCTCAAAGCTTTCGACTTTCTCAATGGGAATCCTCAAAGTCTGTTTCTTTTTTTTAACTTTATTTTATTTTTGTAAAGCCAGACAGATCTGTACATTCAAGATGTGAATATGAAAATGATAATTTGATGATGAAGAAAACTCATAGTAGTTTTATAAATGATTAGATCATTTCATCATCATTATTGTCTCTGATTTAATGCATGTCTATTACACCCACGAATCATTAGAATTAGAAGATAGACAATCATAGCTAAAATCCGTTTGCAAAAGAAAAACATGTGGAGAAGATTTTGGATGTGCTCGGCTGTGAAGCAGGGCGTATCAGCGGCGATTGGGAGGAAGCCTCTGCCTTTTCATCAGGATGGTTTTCTATTGGTCGGATTGAAGTCTGTTGGGTCATACTTTTCCAGAATAGCTCTGCTGTCGTCCTCAGCATCATCTTCCAATGTTGTTGCTACTGGTGTCTCTGATTGTAAAGAGGGGATTTCCTTGGAAGAGGCTAAGAAGCTGATGAGGCTGGTTAATGTGGAAGAGCTGAAGAGGAAGTTAGGGATGGTAGGAAAGGAGGTTATTGGGTACTCGGAGTTGTTGGAGGCCTGCCAGAGCATAGGCGTCGCCAGATCTATGGAGGAGGCAATCTTGTTTGCAAGGGTGCTGGATGAGGCCGGCGTCGTACTTCTCTTTCGCGACAAGGTCTATCTTCATCCGGACAAGGTCATGCTTCTATTTACTATTTCCTTTATTCCTAAGTTCCTTCCCCTGTCTATTCCAATCCAAAACACTGTATCTGTTTATCTGCAAAAATCCTGTGGATGCTCTGCTTCTTTTTTTTTTTTTTCCCTTTATCTTTTCTCTTTCCGGTTGGGGTAGAGGATATTGACCCATTATTCGGTCCATGTCATGGCTTTTTAATGTTTTTGTGTCTTGCTCCCTTTAGCCTTTCTTCCAATAAGAATGCTAGCTTGGCTCCATGGTCCCTTCTCCCTTTTACCGTTGCATATACACCTTTGTTCATGAACTTTATTGTTGTTTTATTTATTTATATGACATATAGATGACATGGGTAACATTCCTAAGATTTATTAGTGTAGAATATGTCCAGTTCTCATGTTCGTTTGAGATATGCCTAATTGTGATTGGGATAAGAATGTAGTACGCATTTAGTCTTGGACCAGCGAATGTGTGACTTTCAAAAATTTCAAATAGTATCTTTTCTTCTTCTGTCTGTAGTGATGAATGCTTTCTTATCCTCCATCAAACAAATAATTTATCAAGCAGGCTTGGATAAGATATAAGCCATTGTGTGGATATAAACATATATTAGTTTTACATTACACTGCAGCTGTGTCATTTGGCCATTAGGTTTTTCTCTGCTCTTCGAGCCTTTTACCAACCATATGCTAACCCATTAGACATTAGAAAACAAAAGATAAACCCTTACTATTTTCTATTCCAGGTTGCTTTACGTTCCCTCTTCACTACATTCCCATCTTCAAAAATCCTCGATATTTTCTGTCATTTTTCATTGTCAATTCAATACTCCTCGCCTTACTCCAATCAGCCTTAACAAAGATGTGCAAGCTTATGGTCACTTATCATAAAATTTGTCATTGTTGTCTTTCTTTTAATCAAAGTTTCCTGAATCTGTTGCTTGGTTGCTGTATGTCATTCTTGTTTGTTTAGGTGGTTGATCTAGTTAGAAGAGCAGTGCCCCTTGCCCTGACTTCTGAAGATGACCCTGTTAGAGAGGAACTCAAGAAGCTGCTGGCAAAGAAGGAAGAAATTGATGTGCTGGCACATAAGCAAGTTCGCCACATCCTCTGGACTGGGCTTGGGCTATCTGTAGTACAGGTGGGATTTTTCTTTTGGTTAACATTCTGGGAATTGTCGTGGGATGTTATGGAACCTATAGCATTTTTCACCACAACCACTGGTCTTGTCATAGGCTATGCTTACTTCCTGATCACTTCAAGAGATCCCACCTACCAAGACCTCATGCAGAGGCTCTTTCTCAGAAGGCAGAGGAAGTTGTTTGAGAAATATAATTTTGATGTTAACAGATTCAAGGAGCTACAAAGTAAGTGCAAAATACCTCTAGATGCTGCCACCTCAACTCG